CTTGAACTAGCTCAGGTATACTTCACACTCAGTGGTATTGGTCCCCCACTCATAGGGTGTAGACATATACACGTGAAGGAAATCCTCGATATAGAAGAGGGTAACACAAAATAGTGCTCACTCTATAGATATTGTATTTTACGTGAAATAAAATATATGTTGAATACTCACATTTAAGTGAGCAGGATATACTGCTCACTCGTAGGGCGTAGGTGGTATAATCCCCACCTAGGATTCTTGAGCAAGGGGATAATGATGTATAAAATAGTAACCAGGTCCAGAAATAAAATAAAAAAGATAAAAACTGAGATAAAAGGTATATGCAAAGAAGAAAAAAATATATACTAGCCAATAATCCTTTATTAATACAAAATAAAATAATAAGATAGCCAAAACGCGTTTCGCCACACAGGGCTTTATCAACTGGCAATTAGCAGTTGATTGTGTAGGACCATCCGCGGCGGGAATAGAGGACCTCGGCCAGCCCCCGGATGAGGTAAGTACCGCTACATTTATTTCCTACAATTACAGTTTTCACCACTAGTGGCCTCCCTAACCACTAGATAAACCTCCTCAGTCTCTCTCACCTGCATAGCACGATGGTCCAAATCTGCAATAAAAGGTCAAACCCGACAAAACCAAGTTGCTTTTACATTGAGAAAAGTTGTGTTCTGAACCTAACAAGTCTTCTGCTCTGGTTCTTGCTAAAGAAAACCTGCTCTACCCTTGCTTACCTTCAACCATCCTGATTTATTCCAACCTGATCTCCAAAATGGACCAACTTTATTTCTATGGAACAGATGTTGGATCAGCGCTAAGTGATCAGTAGGCAGCTAAAACTCGATTGTGCGCCGCAACCTAAGGTTATAATGTTCCCCCACAAACCATCAAAGAGAATACAGATATACAAACAGAAAATGTAGGTCGCGCCACAGGGAAATAGTAATATGATAAAATCGGTAAAATCAGAGTGTACTCACATAAAATTCTTAAATAATAACAGTCCACATAAAAGGTAAGTGGTATATGGATGAAAACAGTCCAAGTTTGTCAAAGAAAGAGTTCAGTGGGTCTTGTAGGTGGTGAATTAGTCAAATGCCGTGATGACGTGGAAGCATGTAAAAGAGAAAAAGTTCCAATAGTGTAACACTATAAACGGAATCAAACAGATGTAGTATAATGATGGTGATATTCCTCCTACTAACCTACTTAGTAGCTAGTGCCAGCTCAGGAGAGAACAGCATCCAGTGGGGTTCCGTCTAGGCGCAATAACAGTAGAGCTCTGTAATAGCTCTGGTAAATGTGAGTTTTCATTTATCTTTTTGCTTTTTACTATTTTAAGCATTTACAGTATTACACTATCATTTTGAATATTTTCTCTTTGAGGTTTATTGAAAACTACGACCATAAGGACTCGAGTACGTACATTTGTATTGTATAAAAGGCGCGGTTTCCTTCTGTTTCTTTGTTCACATTTGAAGCAAAATACCTGCATGAGATCAGCCATTTACCAAAATAGGCTGGCTCTTGATTATTTGCTGGCAGTAGAAGGAGGTGTGTGTGGAAAGTTTAACCTCAGTAATTGTCTGAATATAAATGATGAGGGGCAGGCAGTGGTTGATATTACTAACCACATGGTTAAACTGGTGCATGTACCCACTCAGACTTGGAACGGGTATAATCCAAATAGTTGGTTTGGGAGTTGGTATGAGCAGCTTGGTGGGATTAAGGCATTGGTTAGGAGGAGTGGTGTTTATTGTTTTCTTATGCCTCTTCCTGCCCTGTCTGATTCCATTAGTAGTTCGGTCTATACGTAGTGTGAGCACTATAGAAAGGAAGACAGCTGCTCATGTAATGGCCATCTGGAAATATGAACCCCTAACCCAGAGAGAGGCTATTAATAATCTGGTCGATGAGTGTTGAGAGGTAATAGAGTTAAGTTAGAATGCTTATAAGGTCTGTCCCGGCTCATGGTTACTTGAAAGGTGTTGGTAAATTATGATTAGTGATGCATCTGGAATAACTTTGTATTAGAAGCATGAAATGGGGGAATGTGATGGGATTTCAACATGGTTCAAAATTTAGTAGGCCTGAAATCTCCATGTGGCATATACAAGTACAGGTGTTTGTTGTATCTGTTAATTAGTTACATGTAGCTAAGATACAGTCATCAATGTACTGAGCATGTGCATCAACTGTAGTCACATTCCTTTGTCCTTAAAATTAGTCATATGGTCTGCCCATATTAGGTGATCCTGAATATCCTGTTCACTGATTGGTCTAAGGGTATGTGTGAGTGGAGCTATGAATGGGAGCAGTTATTGTTAATAAATAGCCTGTGCAAACTATGCTCTGGGCTCATACCTTTTGAACACAAATTCAGTGTGATACCCGATCATTGTGTAAATAAATAACTTTTTTACTTCCTGAAGACATGCCTCCATCTCTCTGTTTGGCTTCTGCAAGTTAGTCCGGTAACAGTATGGATCAATGTATGTATCAGTATGGATCAATGTATGTGTCAGTATGGATCAATGTATGTGTCAGTATGGATTACTGTGTGTGTCAGTATGGATCAATGTATGTGTCAGTATGGATTACTGTGAGTGTCAGTATGGATTACTGTGTGTGTGTCAGTATGGATCAATGTCTGTGTCAATATGGATCAATGTATGTATCAGTATGGATTACTCTGTGTGTGTGTGTCAGTATGTGTCCATGTATGTGTCAGTATGGATCAGTTTGTGTGTATGTGAGAGTGTCAATATGGATCACTGTGTATGTGAATCAGTATGGATCAATGTTTGTGTCAGTATAGATTAGTTTGTGTGTGTGTGAGTGTCAGTATGGATCACTGTGTGTGTGTGTGTGTGTGTGTGTCAGTATGGATCACTGTATGTGTGTGGCAGTATGGATCATTGTGTATGTGAATCAGTATGGATCAATGTTGGTGTCAGTATAGAACACTGTGTTTGTGTGTGTTTCAGTATGGATCACTGTTTGTGTGTGTCAGTATGGATGACTGTGTGTGTGTGTCAGTATATGTCACTGTATGTGTGTGTGTCAGTATGTGTCAATGTGTGTGTGTCAGTATGGATCATTGTATGTGTGTCAGTATAGATCATTGTGTGCCAATGTATGTGAGTGTGTGTATGTGTGGGCACCAGTACGTGCCAGTGAGTATGCCTATATATTTTTTTTTAAATAACATGTTGAATAAAAAAAATGAAATATAGCTTTGCTTTAAAGGACCACTATAGTGCCAGGAAAACAAACTCGTTTTCCTGGCACTATAGTGTTAATAGGTCCCCCCCACCCTCATAGACCCTTCCTGTCGGGCTAAAGTGGGAGGAAGTGGTTAAAATCTTACCTTTCTCCAGCGCCGGGCTCCCTCGGTGCTGGGGACTCTCCTCCTCCTTCTGACATCATCAGCTGAATGCGCATGCCAGGCAAGAACCGTGCGCGCATTCAGTCAGTCCATAGCAAAGCCGTGTGGTGTGTTACAGTTGCCTCCAGGCTGGCTGAAAGTTGGACCGTAGAAAGGATGCTCCCAGCGCTCACCAAAGGACCATCAGCACCGTAGACACCATAACTACTGCGTAGCCACCATAAGTACTGCAGACTCCACGAACCACCGCTGCTGGGCTGGTATCTCGCCGTCTGGTGAACCTCTTCCTTCTGTAGAGCGAAGCAGGAACAAGAGCTCTTACAAGCGCTCAGTAGTTAAAGGACCACTCTAGGCACCCAGACCACTTCAGCTTAATGAAGTGGTCTGGGTGCCAGGTCCTTCTAGGGTTAACCCATTTTTTTATAAACATAGCAGTTTCAGAGAAACTGCTATGTTTATGAATGGGTTAAGCCTTCCCCCTAATCCTCTAGTGGCTGTCTCATTGGCAGCCACTAGAGGCGCTTGCGTGCTTCTCACTGTGAAAATCACAGTGAGAGCACGCCAGCGTCCATAGGAAAGCATTGTAAATGCTTTCCTATGAGACCGGCTGAATGCGCGCGCAGCTCTTGCCGCGCGTGCGCATTCAGCCGGCGGGGCGTAACGGAGGCGGAGAGGAGGAGGAGAGCTCTCCGCCCAGCGCTGGAAAAAGGTAAGTTTTTACCCCTTTCCCCTTCCAGAGCCGGGCGGGAGGGGGTCCCT